CCACTGCACCGTGTCATGAAAATAAAGTTAAATTATGTTCAATTAAAGAATTATTCACCATGGTTCAAAAGTTTGCTGTCCAAAAGTATTAGGTTAAATAATGTTTTCATGCCAAAAATCATAACCACTCAGATTTCCAAAAATGCTGTTGCTTTCTGGAACCCTTTATTCCCTTGGAGCTTCAGAAAATCAGGGCTCTATAATATTGAACAAATCTTATGTGCTCTAAGAGTTCTGAAAGAAAACGATTGTTACTGATGTAGGCCGTAATAGGTACAGGGTTGGAAAGAGGGACTTGACAAAAAGCCCAAGAATGGGTTGAACCCAGAGAGTTAGGAGAAGGAATCGCATCCCTGACCAAGATGAAAGAAAACACCACAGTGAAGGGTTCAAGGCAACCTGGTTGCCAAATCTGATTGGAATTAAACTTGTTTGGAGGTCTTCCCAGGCGGCTCAGTGGTAAAGAATGTACCTGCCAACCCAGGAGACATGTGATCAATCCCTGGGTCTGGAAGGTCACCTGGAGAAGGAAACGGCAACCCACTCCAGTATCCTTGCCTGGAAATCCCATGGATAGAGGAGCCTGATGAACCACAGTCCATGGGGTAGCAAAAGAGTCAGACACGACCAAGTGACTAAACACAGCAATTTGTTTAGGACAGTGTTTCTCAGAGCATATTCCACAGAACACTGGTTCCATCACATGCTCTATAAAAAAATAATAAGGAGGGAGGAATTCTACATTCAAACATGAGTGAGAAATGCTATTCACCCTCTTGAAAGGCCCCACTGCACATTAGGTTATAAAAGGTGCCGTGTCTGCCTACCGTTAAGTGTCTATTTTTTGTGTGTGTCCAATAATTTAAACATGAAAAAGCCATTCTGAGCTCTAGGGCCACATGGAAAGAGACCACTCATCAGTTTTTTGCTCTTTGCAGACACTGCCATCAAGATCTCTCTCATGATGTTTTTACGTATGTGTGTTCTATGTGCTAAGTCGTGTCCTACTCTCTGCGACCACATGGGCTGTAGCGCATCAGCCTTCCCTGTCCATGGAATTTTCCGGGCAAGAATACTGGAGTGGTTGCCATTTCCTTCTCCAGGGGATTACATAATGTTTGTAAATGTCCAATGACCTCCTAGTTCTGCTGGAGACACTTGAGAAAATATAGTTTAGCAAATTGACTCTGGAATGTTGAACCTGATTGCCAACAGGAGGGCATGTTAAATGCAGCTCCCTGGACCTGGAATCTGCATTTTCTAGGTGATTCTGACACAGGTAGTCCAAGAATCACACACTGAAGGGAAGGCTGACAAATAATGGGAAAACACCGGGGATGATGACCTCGGGGTTAAAGATCAAGACATGGCCACACACAATGAAGCTAGAGCTCGGTTATCTCAGAGAATATTTCAAAGCTTCTGTAGGGGAAAAAAAATCCTATCTCCCTGAAATAATCAGAGGAAGATTTCCTAAGAGGAGGGGCAGTCATAGCTCTACCACCCAGGATGCCCTGTGCCCAGGGGATATCTCACTGAGCATCTCTGCCACCATCCCCGGAGCCTGGTAGGGTGGGCAAGGCGGGCTCCCCTCTTTCCTGAATTATTTTCTGAGCAAGGAGTAGCATTCATTCAAGGCTTCAGTAAATTTTCTGGAAGATAAAAGAAGAAAGAATAATATATAGCTGAATAAACTAGCTCCCAAGGGCTTCACTGGAGAAGGAAATGGCAACCTACTCTGGTATTCTTGCCTGGAGAATCCCAGGGATGGCAGAGCCTGGTAGGCTGCTGTCCATGGGGTTGCACAAAGTCGGACATGACTGAAGCAAATTAGCAGCAGCAGCAGGGCTTCACCCAGCTCAGTATCAGGCTCTCTGCTCTGGAGCTTGTAGTCTTCACCCTGTAGAAGTCTCTAGCTTGTTTCCGTGGCATGGGGGCCTTCTGTCCAGAGGTGTCCTGGGTCCACTCAGCTGCGCGCATCTCTTCCCACCCCCGTGGTAGCTTGAAATCGACCATGGTGGGAGTGCTTTCACCACAGAAATCAGCACAAATCAGGGAATTGTTTATTATTTTTCAGAGCTACTTGTTAAACAGTTATCAGCACAGCACTGCTTCAAACGCACCATCCAGAATGCCTAATAGCTCCATGGATAAAAGTGAAGGCTGGTGTGTTCACAGAGATCTTGTTTTGAATCTCACAACCGTCTCCCTTACTAGTTATAAAACCCTTACTGGACTTTCCTGGTAGAGCAGTGGGTAAGAAGCCACCTGCCAATGCAGGGGACACGGGTTCAGTCCCTGGGCTGGGAGGATTCCACATGCCACAGGGCAACAAAGCTCGGACGCCACAGCTACTGAGCCTGCACTCTGGAGCCCGCAAGCTGCAAGGACTGAAGCCCGAGCACCTTGGAGCCCAGGCTCAGCAACAAGGGAAGCCACTGCAGTGAGAAGGCGGGCACCGCAGCTGGAGAGCAGCGTCCGCTCGCCACAACCAGAGATGGCCCGTGTACATCAACAAGGACCCAGTGCAGCCAGAAATAAGTAAATATTAGCAAACAAGTAAAGTTAAAAGACACCCTTCCTCTATCAGAGTCTCCATCTACCCTTCTGTAGAAATCACTCCTTCCATTTATAGGGCTGGGAGTTCTATATGAAGAAACTTAGCCCAATGCTTGACATATGGGCAGTACCCACAGGTTGAGTCTAGACATCATAAGGCCCTAAATGTAGAACCAGGAGAGGCCCTGAGGAAGACAGGAGTTCTCCATCCATCCTGTCTAATGCTTTCCAAGGTTCATGCTCCTGGCTTGAGAACCCTGCCTCTTCTGCGGGTGCCCGACAGTGAGCATATCTTCAGAGAGCTCTCAGGATACCTTCAGGACCTTTCTCGATAGATTAAGTGGACTCCCATCAGGATGCAGGCCAGCTGCCCCAAGGGATGCCCGTATATTAGCCGGTGGGGTGTTTTATTACAGCCCCTCCACACCCATGGTGGCTCAGTGGTAAAGAACCCATCTGCAATGCAGGAGACAAGGGAGATGCAGGTTTGATTCCTGGGTCGGGAAGATCCTTTGGAAGAGGGTATGGCAACCCACTCCAGTATTCTCGCCTGGAGACTCCCATGGACAGAGGAGCCTGGTGGGCTGCCATCCATAAAGTCGCAAAGAGTCGGCCAGGACTGAGCAACTGAGCAGGCACAGAGCAGCTCCAAATGCATAATGATGCCTCGCCTAGAGCTCTTGTTACTTTCTCCTCCACTCACAGGCCTCAGGACAGACACTGTGTCTGGGTTCCCTTTGTATAAACTGAATGCACATTTTTTTGAATGACTGAGACAGCAATGAGCGAGAAAAAAATGTAAAATTTTTATGAATCTTAATAGAGATTTCATTTTTCGCACCTCAGTAAGAGCAGTCTGTGTGCAATCAAGCCATCCCCACATATCTGAGGATGCTAGGAGGCCTCCAGAGCCTCATTACCAGCATTGGTTCTCCCCACCTGCTCCTGTAGCCAGAAAAGAAAACTGCACTAAAGCGTGTTCACCATGGGGCAGCTCAGAGATGCGGACTATTTAGACTGAATCCCTAAGATCCAATTGTTTTCTTGTTATGTGCCTCTCCTAAGGGCTGAGATGATTCACGGTGAAGTATGCTTCCACAATCCAAGATGAGTAAGGACTCAGTGCCCAGATTGCGCTTGTCTGGCGCGAGTTGGCGTTTCCCATCCCTCTGTCTCTTCCTGTCCCCCCACAAAAGCCCCACTGTCTCCAAGATTCTCCAAACATTTCTCTTATTTCTGCTCTATAGGAGGAAAGAGCTTCTTCTTTTTTTAAAATGACTTTAATTGAATTAGACCAGAAATCAGTATGCAACCCACAGTCCCAGATATGTTGAGCAGGAAGAGATTAACGTGTCACTTATTTCATTAGCTATAATTTAATTACATGCAGAAACTCTTCGCAATGGCGTGTTCCCCACAGCCCTTGATGTTCCAAGTATAAGGTCAGCTTCACTTGGATGAGGCTATCGAGAACTTCTACAAAAAATCAGGCTTGGAAAATTCAGTGGCTGCAGGAAATAGCTTCTTAACTTAACTCCCTAACATCCTGGGGTCTCAAATGGTAAAATATCCGCCCACAGTGCAGGAAACCTAGGCTCGATCCCTGGGTCGGGAAGTCCCCTGGCGGAGGGCATGGCAACCCACTCCAGAATTCCTGCCTGGAGAATCCCGTGGACAGAGGAGCCTGGTGGGCAACCGTCCATGGAGTCGCAAACAGTCGGACATGACTGAGCAACTAACACTTTGACTAACATCCTTTATTCAGCTCGTATCTGTCAAAGGTCTGCTTCATCCGTACTACACAATGCCAGGTGCTGGAATCAGGACAGGAGCCCCTGCCCCACCAGGGAGCTTGTGGACCAGTGAGGGATCAACACTGAACCACTGCTTCCATCAAACAATTGCCAACAAGCGATGGTAAATGTTACGGAAACGAAGTGCTATGAGAGGTGCTGGTGGAACTCTGCAGTAGTTAGGGGTGGTTTTCTGAGGAATGGACACTGACGCTGAGATTTAAAAGATGAGACGTGGGCCTCACATAGCATAGAGAATATTTTAGGGTAAAGGACTACTGAGAGCAAAAGGATCCAAGGTGGAAGAAAGTGAACCAAGAACCAAAACATCAAGGCGGCTGAAGTGCAGCGGGGGAGACAAGGGTTCGGTGCCATGATCAAGTCACGGATTTGGGCCATTGTCTTGAGAGCAACGGGAAACCATGAGAGCATTTCCAGGCTGTGAGTGGCCTCCTCGGCTTTGTATTAAATGATTATTCTGGCTACTGTGCAGTGAGTGGGCTGGAGGAAGGCAAGACAGGCTCTGGGAGGCCCATTAGGAAGCATCATGTGATCCAAGAGAGGGAACGAGACGGCCTTCCTCCAAAGCACCGGGATGTTGGAGATGCAACCACATGGGAAACATCTATTCCACTAGAGCCTCCAGAACTACTGAGGCGGAGCTGTGTCCTGTCCGCAGACCGGAGCCAAGGGGCTCACTGACAGGTTTCCAGCTTGCACAACTCCAGATCTCCGGAGCGCCCCACTCCCACCCTCCCAGGGCCTGGGTGACAGCTGCAGGCAGCCCCCATCGTCCCTGCTGGGCCCGGTACTGACCCAGCGGCACCGCACAGCTCCCTGGACGCAGCCGCTGCCTTGGGCTGAGTGGGGACAGCGGGCAGAGGAGGGGAGACAGCGACAAGGTTCCCCCGCGGACGCACCGGGGACGGAGCCACCGCGGCCCTGTGACCCTGCACAGCCACTGGCCCTCGGGCGCGCCAGCTTCCTCATCTTCCTGCAAAATGGGGCAAATCCAGCTCTCTCCCGGGTTTCCTGAGGGTCACAGGAGACAAACGTGTAAAGGCTATACAGCACAGAATCTGCCCGGGGAAGCCCTCGATTTGGACCCAAGTTTGAATCCCACCAGGACTTTCCTGGTGGCTCTGACAGTAAAGAATCTGCCTGCAATGCCGGAGACCTGGGTTCAGTCCCTGAGTCGGGAAGATCCCCTGGAGAAGGGAAGGCTACCCACCCCGGTATTCTGGCCTGGATTACTCCATGGGCAGAGGAGCCTGACGGGCTACAGACCACGGGGTCAGAAAGAGTCGGGCACGACTGAGTGGCTCACACACACACACACACACACACACACACGGATCCCACCTGGGCCACTTAGCCGTTGTGACCTGGGCAAGTTAACCAAGTTCTCTGGGACTCAGCTTTCTCAGTGGTGAAAACAGGGAGGCTAAGACCTACCTGGAAAGATGGTCCTGGAGCACTGGGCCAGTGCTGCTCAGCCTTAGTTCTGCCTCCGCACCCGCACAGGAAGGCACAGCAGGCACGGGCCACTCTCAGAGCTGGGGAGGTGGGGACGGAGGGAATGGAAATGAGACAGTTCAGGAGTATAGACCCAGGATGGCAGGCGTGGGGTCTGTGCACAGAGAGGATGATTCGGGAGTGAAGAGGAGTCTGCCAGATAACCCTGGGGAGAGACTGTAATTAGCCTTTAAAGGGATGCTGGAAACGTATGCGCCGATAAGGTAAAACCCTTCAGCTGGGACCGCTCAGCACTAAACACGTGCCTCCTGCCCCTCAAGTTGCTTTCCTGTTTTCAGCTGAGGAGCATGGCTTGTGCAGGTTCTGCCAGCTCCAGGTCGTCAGCGTAAAGCCAGCTTACTCTGGGTGTGAGTCGCTCAGTCGTGTCCAACTCTTTGTGACCCCAAGGACTGTAGCCCACCAGGCTCCTCTGTCCATGGAATTCTCCAGGCAAGAATCCTGGAGTGGGTTGCCATTTCCTTCTTCAGGGGATCTTCCCAACCCAGCAATCAAACCCAGGTCTCCTGCATTGCAGGAGGATTCTTCACCTTCTGCACCAGGGAAGCGCTGGGTGGTGTGCTTTTATTCCCTTATTCGGCAGTCATAAACACCCACTCATGCCAGGCACGTTGCTGCAGAGCAGCAAGGCCTGGCATCCGCTGCAAGGAACTCAGTCAGTTAAAGTGAGGGCAGTAGCATCATAAGTAAGGGGGTCCAGATAAAGCCCAGAAACAGCCTAGTTAGAGACACTTCTTCAAAGGGGGCGTCATTTGAGCAGCGTTTTGTACTGAGTTGGAAAAAGGAAAACAAAGTGGGCCCCCTGAGCTGAGCCCTGCGCAAGCATCGTCTCTGAGTTCGGAAGAAAGGCCGCGCAGGTGGACGAAAGAAGCAGCCTGAGCGAGGGCAAGAGGTGGGGGAGGCAACCTCAGCCCTGAACTGAACCATTAAACACAGCCAGGAAGAAAAGGCCTGACCAGTCAGAATGGAAGGGGAGTTGACCCAGGGTTCTTCATCCCGAGGCAGTTCAGAGGTGGGATAAATCTAAAGAGCAGCAAAGCTAGTGAAGTCCATAGACTAACTGTTCAGTCTCTCAAATGAGCTGAAACTAGGGGATCAGGGAGGTGAGGACACAAGCCCAGTGTCACACAGCAATGATCTCACAGTCGGGACAGGAAGCCAGGTTTTCTCTCTGCCACCCAGGCATGGATTCCTTCCTCTGCACTAAAGCAAGGGTCCCTGAACCAGACAGTCATTCTGGCCAACAATCTAGGAATTCTGTTAACTTGGTGTGCTAACAGTCCTGCGCCAGCAACAGCCTCCAGCCCTCTTGGTTGTACCAAGGGCTGAGAGAGGGAAGAAGGAGAAGATGCAAACTGAGACTCACCAGATCACAACCAGCCAGTCAAAAGAAAACAAAGGCTTATACACTACCCGGCATTGGGAACAACCTAAACCTCCAGAATTGGGAGCATGATTAAACAATAGCAAATCTGCTCAATTGACTATTCCTCAGCTGTTAAAATTTTACAAATATGACAATATTAAAATACCTATAATAAAATACAAGAAAGATATAAAGTAATTTTGTTGGTCAGTCACTAAGTTGAGTCTGAGTCTTTGCAATCCCGTGGACTGCAGAACACCAGGTTTCCCTGTCCTTCATCATCTCCTGGAGTTTGCTCAAACTCATGTCCATCGAGTCAGTGATGCCATCCAACTATCTCATCCTCTGTCGTCCCCTACTCCTCCTGCCTTCCATCTTTCCCAGCATCAGGGTCTTTTCCAATGAGTCAGTTCTTCATATCAGGTGGCCAAAGTATTGGAGCTTCAGCTTCTGCATAAGTCATTCCAATGAATATTCAGGACTAATTTCCTCTAGGATGGATTGGCTGGATCTCCTTATAGTCCAAGGGACTCTCAAGAGTCTTCTCCAACACCACAGTTCAAAGCATCAATTCTTGCATGCTCAGCCTTCTTTATGGTCCAACTCTTACATCCATACATGACTACTGGAAAAACCATAATAACTTTGACTATATGGACCTTTATAATCATATATTAACACTATCTAAAAGAAAAAATAACTGAAAAGGAAAATAAACTAAAAATGTTGGCAAATGATTATTTTGGTAAAAAATGATTTTGCTAAATAAGAATGAACTAAAAGTAATTTTTTAAAATTTTAATTATGTAATTTTTCCAAATTGTCTTTAATCAACATGCTATGCCTTTGTATTACTGAGGAATATATAACATATACACATAAATGTCCATTTATCTGTATATGCATATGTGCTCAGTCGCTGAATTGTGTCTGACTCTTTTGCGACCCCAGGGACTGTAGCATACCAGGCTCCTCTGTCCATGGGATTTCCCAGACAAGAACACTGGAGTGGGTTGCCATTTCCTTCTTCAGGAGATTTTCCCGCCCTGGGGACTGAAACCACATCTGCATTGGTGGGTGGATTCCTCACCGCTGAGCCACATGGGAAGCCCACCAATCTATATAGACACGTGTAAATGATATTTCTCACTTTACCCTCTTCCACAGGGAACACCGGACTAGCCATGTTTAAGGTCAGTTAACAGGCAATCAGCTTGTGTGCCCAGTGCAATACAGAGGAAGATAGAAGAAAACTTACAAGATCTAAGCCTGGACTCAAAGTCTTGGAGGAAGCTGACTAGTCCAAGTGCAGACTCTGGTGTTCAGCAGGTCCTCATTAATTATTCATGGAATGAATGAATGAATATGAGTCTATGAGGGCTATGGATGGAGAGTCTGTGATCAGCTCAGCAGCTCAGAACACTGTGTTCAGCTCAGCATCATCCTCACCTGGTCCACTCAGCAGAAAAGCCTGGGACCGCTTTTCCTAGAATCCCTTGCAGCTCTTGGCTCTGGGTCAGTTCTGCCAAGGAGAGGCTCTCGAGAGGCTCTGGAAGACCGAGGAGGAAGAGAAATCATGATGTCCAAGGGGCAGCTGTTTGCAGGTTTGTGGGCATTTGGCAGATGTTTGGGGGTATCACCCTGAGAATCACAGTTTCTGGTGCCACAAGCTATTGAATGACCAACCACAGCTCCCAGCGCCCTGGGAGTTCCTCTTCTTGGAGCAGCCACTGAGGTCAGTGCAACAGCTCCCCCGAAACCTTTGCACTTTGGGATTTCCTGAAAATGGAAATCTCCGCATTTCAGGGGCCATGGAAATCTCTAGCTCCCTGTATTAAACCTCTTTCTACTCGAAATACCTAGAGTGACTTCCGCCCAAACCATGACTGATATGGGTGATATGTAATGAAAAGCAAGACTGATGGATCCTGGTGTTCCACGAGTTACATGAGTGCTGGCAAGGCTGAGTCACGGGATCCAGTCTAAGCTACAAGAGTAGACCAGACATAAGAATTGCATGTGCGTGACGAATGCCTCTCCTTCCTGCTTACTTCATTCAAGCACCCCTTCAATCCTTTCTTCACTCTTTCAATTTCTTCCTGAAAAGCTTCTGCTTTTACCATCAGGGGAGGTGAGAAAAGGCTTCCTTGCTGGCTCAGTCAGTAAAGAATCTGCCTGCAATGTAGGAGACCCAGGTTCAATCCCTGGGTGGGGAAAATCCCCTGGAGAAGGAAATGACAACCCACTTCAGTATTCTTGGCTGGAGAATTCTGTGGACAGTGGAGCCTTGAAGGTTACAGTCCATGGGGTCGCGAAGAGTCGGACACGACTGGGTGCCTGAGCATCTACAGAGGTGAGAAAAGCTTATTATCTGCTTTTTTCCTAACAACTGCTGATAAATATTGATTTTTTTCCCCAGGAGGATCTCATTTGGGCAATGAACAGTTTGGTTTCACGGCAGTGGCAGCCAATCCCTGGGAATAAGCCAGACGTGGTCTTTACCACGTTCCTAAGACACCTCAAGTCCAGGCCACTCCTTTCCTGGGACTGTTTCTGGATGAACAGTCCTGACAGTTCAGGGGCCATGGAAGAGTAACACAAAGCCCGCTCCAGAAAGCACTGTCCAAACTAAGGACACGTTTGTCCATTTCATTCATATTCACTATCTATCCACTCTGAACACACGTCAGACACTGGGGTGGTGATAGACACGCAGTGACCACAAGACACGGTGCCCATCTCCGAGCAGCTCAAATGGCCAAGGACAGCAGCCAGTGCTAAAGCTGCAGTCGTGGAAGGTGCATCATTCAGAGTCCAATAGTGTTCTCAACCCAGCTGCTGTTTCAAAAACAAAATGAAGGCCAACAGACTAAAGTCCGAGCACTGAGTGCAGGGAATGTTTGTTCCTCCTGAGCAGGGAACATCCTGCTGACCCTTCAGGTTCTGGAGGATCAGGGTTTGGAGAAAAGGAAAAGGAGTCTGTTTTTTAAAGGCTAAAACTGGAGACTCTCTCTGCCTCAGTAGGAAAACAGAGCTGCCGAGTGTCCCTGACTGGCTGGTGACATCTGGGCTTAGCCCGCGGCTGCATGGAAGTGCCGACATGGGGACAGCGGTCTCTGCCTGGACAGGGTGTGCCCTGCGAGCATGGCTTCCAGCTCCTCTGCCCCCTGTCTAATTTGAGACGCTGGCTCCCGGTTGTCAATCTAGCAGAAGCCAGGTCTGCGGCGCTGACAGTGGGATGGATGGTGTGCCAGGGCTCATTAAGACGATGAGCGTGTAATTAATCAGGATTCTGTTTACAGTGCAAGAGTGACTGCTAAGTTACAAGAGGACAACACAACAGTCATAACTAGGATGCCCCCAGGGAGGGTGGTCTGTTCCTAAAGCGGAAGGACAGGGGAAAGACCGCATGCTGAGCCCGTATAACAACTTACCAGCTGTCCGTAGTTTTCTTTCATCCACTTCAATTCTCACTATAACTTATGAAGTAGATGTTACTAACCCTCGTTTTCTAAAGACCCAAGGCTCAGATAAAGGAACCTGCCTGAGTTGAAGGGTTAGGAAGAGGTGGAAGTGTAATCTGAACCCAGGTCCATCTGACTCATATCTGTTCTCATCACAGCCATGAGGCAAACTCCAAAAATGGTGGCATTTGCCCTAGAAGGGCCTCATTGTCTTTGAGCCAATGATACAGGCTTTCATTAATAACTGTGATGTAGGCACTTACTGCTGTGTGCCATTACTTTGTTAAAATTCAACCACTGATTCAATTCAATTCAACACACTTTTGAGCTAGACTTGGCACTGTGGATGCACAATTGAAGAGGTTATTCCGGTCCTGAAGGATCTCACAGAACAGGGGGAAGACAGACAAGAAAACCAGTAATTACTGAACTGTGTAAATGCCGAAATAACTGCATGTTAGTCTCAAGGTCTCACAGAATCACCACAACCCTCTGATCCGACAGAGACATGCAGGAAGCCTTCCCAAAGGAGGTGTCAGCCCAGGTATAATAGATGAGTAGGAATTACTTTAAAAAAGAAATCAGGACTAAAGTCTAGGAAATAACACACGCACAGGAAGAGGGAAGTGAACGAGCCTTGGAGGATGCAGAGAAACAACAAATGATTCTCTTTGGCTGGAAGAAGGGGGGTGGACCCACACAGCATGGCCGAGAGGGGCTCACGTCACCCCTTCCACTCAGCCCAGCCCAGAGGACGCCACCTGGGGCTCAGCGGGGCCAGCCACTGCAGGCCAACCGGAGGAAACTGGCCAGTAAGAGACACATGACCGAAGGTAGACCAAGAGCAGTCTCTAGGAGAACTTTCTTCCAGCAAAGCTCCTACAACCTAGACGGGCGCCTTTACTAGTCAGTACAAAGGTAGATTTTGGACCAGCTAAGGCTCAGGGGGCCCAGGAAACAATGAATAAGGGGGATCTTTTCAGAAAGCAGAGCAGGAGGCTGGCAGATGAGATACCCAAGGAATTTAGTGCTTTGCGATGGTAGGGAGTCTTCAGAAGTCCTGTCCCAGAGGACTGCCCATTGTGTCAGACCAGTGACAGTGTCACGTTTCCATTCTCTCCTTTTCCAACACTGTGTAGCTGTTCTCCTGCCCCTACTTGGCCGCTGCATATTGAGCATGTCCGGAGGTGCGGCTCTAGGGGATTTGGCCCTGGAGTGTTTAGACCACTGGTCAGTAAGGACATCCAAATGTGAAGGCACACACCGCCCATCATTTAGAGATCCCCGCTTTGAAGCTGGTCAGGACCTTGGGGTTGTCTCCCTCAAGAAGGGAGAGTACTTTTTGCAAAAGTCAAGAGTATTTTTGGTCGCCAAATGGTGTGCTGAGGTCAGATGTAAGTTACTAGCTAAGAGATTACATCTCTCAGCCTCCCTTGTACTTATGTACACATAGCCATTTGACTAAACTTTAGCCAATAATGTGTAAAGAGAAGTTGTTGAGTATGAATTGGCTTAAAATGAAGATAGTTGCTGGTATAGGTACTAATTTTTTTTTAACCTTCAACTATTTCTGCTGCTTCTTACCTGGACTGCAAAGATGATGGCTGGTGCTCCAGCAGCCATGTTTGATTATGAGGCAATACCAAGCTAGAAGCCACATACTAAAATGGTGAAGTCGAAAGACAGAATGGTGCCTTTGCCTCTAAAAGACACCATGGAACTGACACACCAGTTCTTAATGTTAAGTACAATAAACTTTCGTCTTGTTTAAGCTGCTGCATTTTTTTCCTGGTTTTTGATTCTAGTAACTAAATATAATTCCTAACAAATAATCTATAAGTATGCAGAAATTTCCAAAGTTATTTATCTACAGTTGAGATCTGTCCCATTAACTCCAAAGCTAGCCTCTAGCTGAATATGCCAGCTGTCACAAACTCAACATTTTCACAAACAAATTCATTGTCACTACATCCAATCCCATCCCCACCAAGTCTGTTCTTCAACTTGGGGTGTGCAGGATGAGTCACTGAAGAGCTGACAAGCAGTGAGCGCTGGACCGCAGGAAGAAGACTGTGTGCCAGGACTGCTGCCTGAGTGAAGGGAGGAAGGACCCCCAGACACACACCAGGACCCTTCCTGGGCTAAAACGCCACTGGGGAGTCATCAGAGACTCAGTTTGTTCCAGACCAAGGGTCTACCCATGATGAGCAGAGAAGATAGGAATGGCCTCGCAGGAGTAGGAAAAGTATGGCCCAGGTACTACTGTTGGAAATGTCTAGTAATACTTTATAAAGAAATGCTTCCAGAGGAAACACTGGACATACCTGTCAATCACATCGCATAGGCTACAGCCAGGGAACGGGCGTGCTCCCAGGTTTGTTGGGCCTGGAGCAAGAGTGTGGGCATGTGAGTAGCTTGTGTGAAAGTAGGCTGCAGTCACTGTGCTCTGGATGCACGGAGTGTGTGCGGTATGTGCAGAGTGCAAACATGTACACACACTTGTCTTCTGTGTGTTGGGGGAGCTCCAGTTTGGAGAGGGGGTGTGAGGAGAAGAGTGAAGGAGGCTGGCGTGCCTTCACGTAAGCTAACATCCAGGACCGTGAGAGTTCATTTATCTTGTACCTTCCTGTCTTCACGCTCCTGTGGGCCCCACAAGAGCTTACGTGTGTGCATGCTAAGTCAATTCAGTCGTGTCCGACTCTTTGCAACCCCAGGGACTGCAGCCCACGAGGCTCCTCTGTCCAGGGGATTCTCCAGGCCAGAAGACTGGAGTGGGTTGCCATTTCCTTCTCCAGCGGATCTTCCCCGCCCAGGGCCTGAACCCGGGTCTCATAGTCTCCTGCACTGGCAGGCCGGTTCTTTACCACTAGCGCCGCCTGGGAAGCTAATGAGGGAAGCATTAACATAGCTTCTATTTTTCAAGTGAGAAGAATGAGACACAGAGAGGCAGAATCCCCCAAAATGAATTTCCTTAGGGAAGGAGTCACCACGCCGTGCTTTCCACGTGATCGCTGCGTGGACACAGGAACTCAGAGGGAGAGGAGCCCATGCAGGTGTTTTTGAGATGTTAGCGCCTATTTGTCCGTCAGAGGCTCTTACCTTATTCACTCATTTTTATTCTTTGCTTCTTCATTTGCTCTGTCTCAAACTCGACTTCAAGTTCCCCCTACACGTAAGGCCGGTTCGCCTGGCCAAGCGTGGGAGAGAAAAGGTAGAAGGCCTGGATGCCCGGAGGTGACACCAATCAGGCAAAAAGGAGAAGCTGGACGTGAGTGGAGGAAGGGGGGTTGAGGGGGAAAGAGAGGGCGGAAGTTAATCAGACTGTGAATGCATTTCAGGCTGTTTCCTTTAGGTACAAGTTCTAGCTGACTGAATTTCGGAACCCTGGAGTTTATGATCCGCGTGCCTTCTGAGATCAGCGCCCACAGCCCAGCATGCCCGCAGCATCCTCTGGAGCATCCAGGGTACCAGACCTGCCCTTCTCAGCCGCCTGCTTCCCTGGGTCTCCCCCGGTCTGGAACCAGCAGGGTGAGAAGGCCGGGGTCTGGCCTCAGCCCCGCGGGGAAGGAGCTGGTTGACTGACGAGGGACTCCCCTGGGTCTCCAAATGAACTCAGCCAGGGAGCGACGCTGGGGCTTGGGGTGAGAGTGCGCTCCCCTGTGAGCCCGTGTCTAGCTCCAGGCTCCGTGAAGAGGATGCTGCTGGCGGCAGAGTGGGCCTGCGAGTTCCTGGCCGCACACCCACCACCATTCCTCGTCCTTTCAGCTTGCCAGGGCTTTCTCATCCTTAGGTCTTCCCTCCAAGGCCATTCTGTTTTGTTCAAAGGAAAGTGGAGCTTTAGAGAGGTTTTCAGGCCTCGGTTTCAGAGGTTTTGGAGGCCTCGGGGTAAGTCAGAGTGGAAACGAGAAATCAGACGCAGGGTCCCCAGGCAGGGACTCGGTCCCTTCTCCGCCTTCTCCGTCTGTACCGCGAGCCTCCTGAGTACTGAGGGCAGAGCCACAAGCCGGGCCTGCTCCCTGCTAGCAGCTGAGTGCAGCCTAGCGGGCAGAGAGGCCCATCCACATGCTATGACGACACTGCTAGGGCCCACCAGCCAGTGGCCGGGGTGCAGGAAGGGGTCCCTCCACCCCGCCCTTCGGGCACTGGGGGTCACTCCGCTCGACGGATGTGCATTGCAGTGGGCGGTGAGGCCTGGCACTCAGCCCCCCAGATGCTGGCCCAGGGCTTGGGGGGTGGTTCAACCTGGCCAGTCTCCCTCCCAGCCTCCTTGATGCCAGCTTACAGGTGAGCCCCGACCTCCAATCCTCCGGGAACCTTGATGCACAGGCTGGAACCCCGCAGGCCTCTCGGCACCAGTAGGCCCTGGGGGGCTGGGTCAGGCGTTAGGTGAATACTTGCTACTCTTTTAGTCTCAGCTACTGTAAAGGGCCACTTGGATTTCGGGGAGAATTTTATCCCCTTCTGTCCATATCATTCGCCATTAACAAAACATGTAGGTTACTTTTCCCAGCTCAAATCTGTTCCCAACGTTAAAGCTGTTGAAAACATTTTTTTTTTTATTCTGTTGTGGTAAATGTCAGGAGGTGAAAACGCTGTCCTCTTGAAACCTGGCCCCAGAACTCCTCTGCAGGAGGGAACTACTTTCGTTTGGAGAAACTATCAATACTTTGACAAGCACCTTGGGGTGGGAGGTAAGACTGACAGGAAGTCAGCCACAGAGCCACTGGGTAAAGTGGCCTCTGAGAAATAGCTTTGCTTTGCTCTGAAGTTGGAGGGGGATGACACGGAGGGAAGGAGAGAAGCAGGCAGAGAATTAAGGGTAAGCCCACTGGCTCAGACAGTAAAGAATCCGCCTGCAAGGCAGGAGACCTGGGTTTGATCCCTGGGTTGGGGAAATCCCCTGGAGGAGGCCATGGCAACCCACTCCAGGATTCTTGCCTGGAGAATCCCATGGCCAGAGGAGCCTGGCAGGCTACAGCCCATGGGGTCACAGAGTCGGACACGACTGAGTGACTGAGCCCACCACCACTAGACCAGACTAGGAAAGTCTCTGCACTCCCAGAGCAGGGGGTCTGCTTCCATCCCTGGTCAGGGAGCTGGATCCCAGTGTTGCAACTAAGACTTGGGGCAGCCAAATATACATAAATGTAAAAAAGAGTAAAGCAAGGTTGGGCGTGGGAGAAGTCAGGAGAGTTTGGTAAAAGGATACAAACTCACAATTGTAAGGTGTGAGTATCTAGCGCTGTCCTTGTTCATTCCCCAAGTTCTATGTCTGACTCTGTGACCCCACCCACTGCAGCACACCAGGCTCCTCTGTCTTCCACTATCTTCCTGAGTTTGCTCAAATTCAAGTCCATTGAGTAGGTGATGTATAGCAGGGTAACTAAAATTATTACACTGTATTATATAATTGAAATTTGCTAGGGAAGTAGAACTTAAAGAAGGTAAATAGGCGAATATGTGTTAATGAACTAGATGAGGACAACATTTTCACAATGTAGACATTAAATCATCATGTTTTACACTTGAAATATCTTATAACTTTGTCAATTATACCTCTGTCAAGCTGGAAAAATATTCTAATTAAAAATTTTTTTAAAAGAGTCAGCCTGGGTCTAGACAGTTGCCCTGGAACAGGGTGGTGTTCAGACCCTGACCCCAGAGATCACATCATTTCCTGCCAGGAATTATAAGAAAAAGGATGCCCAGCACACAACCTGAAAGTGTTCACTGCTGTTGTGTAAACCTGTCCATCTCCTCCCAAAACTAGCAAATTCTGTAACACTCACGAATACTCTGGGATTTTTAAAAAATGAAATATAGTTGATGCATGACATTATGTTACTTTCAGGCATATTACATCGTGATCTCACATTTGCATACATTTTGAAATGATCGTCATGATAAGTCTAGTAACCATCTGTCCCACACAGAGTTATTGCGAACTGATTGACCATATTCCTTATGCTCTACTACATTTCTGTGGCTTATTTATTTTATAACTGGAAGTCTGGACCTCTTAATACACTTCTCTTATTTCACACCTCAAACCCCCTCCCCTCTGGAAACCACTCATTTGTTCTTTACGACCCTGTTTTGTTTTTTAGATTCTGCTTATAAGTGAGATCATATGGTATTTATCTTTTGCTGCCTGACTTATTTCACTTAGCTTCCTTTACTGTCTCATGGCTCAGACACTAAAGCATCTGCCTGCCATGTGGGAGACCCAGGTCTGATCCTTGGCTTGGGAAGATTTCCCGGAGAAGGAAACGGCACCCCCATTCCAGTATTCTTGCCTGGAGAATCCCCTGGACAGTGGGGCCCGGTGGACTACAGTCCAAGGATGCAGACTTAGACACAACCAAGCATCACTCTCTCTCACTCTCAATTCCAAGTCCATCCATGTTGGTGCAAATGGCAGGATTTCATTCCTTTTATGGCTGAATAATATTCCATTATATATATATACACACACACACACACATATATATATATATATGTCTGTGTGCATATATATATATATCACATCTGATTCATCCATTCATCTATTGCTGTTATTTGGTTGCTAAGTCACATCTGACTCTTTGTGACCCCATGGACTGCAGCATGCCAGGCTTCTACAAATGGACCCTTAGTTCAGTTCAGTTCAATCACTCAGTTGTGTCCAACTCTTTGCGATCCCATGAACCGCAGAATGCCAGGCCTCCCTGTCCATCACCAACTCCCGGAGTTTATCCAAACTGATGTTCATTGAGTCGGTGATGCCATCCAACCATCTCATCCTCTGTCGTTCCCTTCTACTGCCTTCAATCTTTCCCAACATCAGTGTTTTTTTCAAATGAGTCAGGTCTTCGCATCAGGTGGCCAAAGTATTGGAGTTTCAGCTTCAGCCATCAGTCCTTCCAATGAACACCCAGGACTGATTTCCTTTAGGATGGACTGATTGGATCTCCTTGCAGTGCAAGGGACTCTCAAGAGCCTTCTCCAACACCACAGTTCAAAAGCATCAATTTTTGTGCTCTCAGCTTTCTTTATAGTCCAACTCTCACATCCATACATGACCACTAGAAAAACCATAGTTGGTCATAACTTTCCTTCCTTTAATTTCATGGCTGCAATCACCATCTGCAGTGATTTTGGAGCCTCAAAAAATAAAGTCAGCTACTGTTTTCACTGTTTCCACATGTATTTGCCATGAAGTGATGGGACCAGATGCCATGATCTTAGTTTTCTGAATGTTGAGCTTTAAGCCAACTTTTTCACTCTCTTTAACTTTTATCAACAGACTGTTTAGTTCTTCTTCACTTTCTGCCATGTGGGTGGTGTCATCTACATATCTAAGGTTATTGATATTTCTCCCAGCAATCTTGATTCCAGCTTGTGCTTCATCCAGCCCAGCATTTCTCATGATGTACTCTGATATAACTTAAATAAGCAGGGTGACAATATACAGCCTTGACGTACTCCTTTTCCTATTTGGAACCAGTCTGTTGTTCCATGTCCAGTTCTAACTGTTGCTTCCTGACCTGCACACAGGTTTCTCAAGAGGCAGGTCAGGTGGTCTGCTATGCCCATCTCTTTCAGAATTTTCCACAGTTTATTGTGATCCACACAGTGAAAGGCTTTGGCATAATCAATAAAGCAGAAACCTGGATTATTTTAAATAATGCTGCTATGAACATAGAGGTGCACGTGTCTTTTTAAATTTGTGTTTTTATTTTTTTCGGGTAAATACTCAGAAGTGGGATTGCTGGGTCATAAGGTTTTTCTGTTGTTACTTGTGTGAGGAACGGCCGTACTGCTTTCTGTTGCGGCAGTCCCGATCTACAAGCCCACCAATGGTGCACATGGCTTCCCTTTCGCCTCATGAACTTAAGAGCTTGGAGAGGGGCTGATTTTCTTGGCACGGAGACAGAAGGATGTGCGGAAAGATGTACTGCCCTCACTCTCTTCTTGTTGTTTATTCGATCAGTTGTTTCTGACCCTTTGGGACCCCATGGACTGTAGCTAGTCAAGCTTCTCTGTCCGTGGGATTTCCCAGGCAAGCGTACTGGAGTGGGATGCCATTGCCTTCTCAGGAGATCTTCCTGACCCAAGGATTGAACCTGAGTCTCTTGCACTACAGATTCTTTACCACTGTGCCACCAGGAAAGCCCTCTCACTCTCTGGGAACTTGCAAAATTCTTCAAGACCACTTTGGACTTCTGCAGAAGCATTGTAGTTTGAAGAGGACAAGCTGACACTCAGGCAAACACTAAGCAGTTAATTAAACAAGTGACTGGGGTGTGGGACCAAGACGCCTAACTCGATACAAGCCTGTGCGTGAGCTGGATCCATACTCTGCTTTGCAAGGTGCTTTTTCTCAAGCTTCTCTCACACCTCCTCTGCAAGGCAGTTTAGGCAGAGAGGCTGGTGCTCCTTTTATGGGTGCAAAAGTGATGCCCCCTTGTCAGGCCCTTTCAGTCTGGAAATCTCCCAGGGAGACAGTGACTGTCCTACAGGGCCACCAGGAGCAGGTACCAGGAAGCTTGCTGGGCCCCGGAACCTGTGACCCCTGGGAGACGCACATCAGGAGGGGGCACGGGTGTGTGCAGGCGGTGGGTTGTCAGAAGTTCTAGAAGCCATTTTGCTCTGCTTGGAGTTTGGAAAGAAACAAGTCCAGTGCTTTCGTGGTTTTCCAACATGTATTTTTAAAGCCTCCCTGGTGGTTCAGTAAAAGAATCTGCCTGCGATGTAGGAGACCCAGCTTCAACCCCTGGGTGGGGAAGATCCCTTGGATAAGGGCATTGCAGCCCACTCCAGTACTCTGGCCTGGAGAATCCCATGGACAGAGGAGCCTGGCGGGCTACCGTGCATGGGGTCACAGAGTCGGACACGACTGAGCGACTAACACACACAGCATGCATTCTGGTGGACAGTTCTCGGGCTCAGACACCTCCAGTGAACAGTGGGTGCTGATGCCCCCGCTCGTGGGTCCAACACAGGGCTGGTGGGTCAGCCTCGTCCCGTGTCTCAGGAGCCCCCGGTTCTGCTGCCACCTCTCCTCTCAGGCTGCCCGCAGCCCCCAGCACAGGGCCTGGGTGGGCGCCAGTGAGCCTGAGTCTCGTTTGTGCCCAGGGCTCACCCAAGAGCCCCCCGCTTGTTCTCAGAAGTTTCAGGATCTTGGCTGCCTCGGGGCGGCCTGCCTGGTCAAGCTGTGAGCCGACAGGGCTCCTTGCTTTCATGCTCCGAGTCTCGGGTCCTCTCTCAGATGCACTGTCTCTTATCCATGCGCTCTCTGTAGTGGAAAAGAAGGTATTTTATCGTTGGTGGGGGAGGAGAGTAATTTCCTAGCTGTGATCCATGTACTAAAGGACTCCATGGACGCTAGTTTCCTCCAGGGCCTTGCTGCCTCTACCCCTGAAACCAAGGACTTGCTAGCTGGGATCCCTCTGTGAGACACCCCCCAACACACACACAGAGTTAGTGGGAGGCAGGGATTAAGCACTTTGCGTCCTATGTCCTACTGGCCACCTAAAACCCTCAAAAGCATCCTCTGTTCTAGAACCTTGCATAGACCTGGTTGATATCATGCATGAATCCACGGATATGAGGGTTATAATCATTGCCCCTTTGTGGTTGAGAACAAATCGGGGCAAGCCGAACCCCACTATTTGCGTGAGCTTGTGCTTGCTGAGGGTAAGAACTCCGGTTTCCAAATGAGAGCTCACAGTGCCCGACAGCCTCTGATGGGAGTGGTCAGCGCAGACAGCACGTGTCCAGAGTCTGGGCCCCGCGGACGGCTGCGGAGCAAGACCCGGGTGGGCACAGAGCCCAGGGCGAGGGGAGGAGCCCCTGCGGGAGACGAACTTGAGACTCGCGGGTGCGGTTCTCCCCGGGGGCTGTCAACCGCAGGAGGAATCCCCGGACCGCAGACCCAGCACAGGGGGCCTGCTGTCCCCGGAGTCGCCCAGTCACCTTCACTCCAGGCGGTGCCCTGTGCAGGAGGCTCCCCCCAGATCCGCCCCCTGTGCGCTGAGACACGTATTTCCTGCGAGCGTCTGTTCCTCGGGGAAAGCCAGTCACGGGATAGTCACAAACAAGAGGGCCAGGCAGATGTGCAGCATTTCTGAGGGTCGGGCTGGGTGCAGGCGGGCAGGACAGTGAGGCTGCCCCGACAACACATTTCTCCAGGTCTGGGCCTCTCGGTCTTCACTCCGAAAGGGCCGACTCCCGTGACAAGGAGCAGACGGTTCATCGTGTCCACCGCACTGAGACGCGACCTCGCCTGGAGCTTCCGACCAGCCCTCCTCATGGTCAGATGGGCCGCTGGGAGAGGGGCCTCACCCACAGGAGACACAGGCAAGGCTTTGGAGGGGGGAGCGTGGAGCTCAACTAGGGTGGAGACGTGTGGAGGCGGGACGGATGTCAATTTGTGGCTCCGAGAGCGGGGTGTGTGGTCAATGGATCCCTCCCGTGGCGATCAGTTGCCGAAAATCAACCCTGAATATTCCTTGGAAGGATTGATGCTGAAGTTCCAATACTTTGGCCACCTGATGCGAAGAGCTGATCATTGGAAAAGACCCTGATGCTGGGAAAGACTGAAGGCGGGAGGAGAAGGGGACAACAGAGGATGAGATGGTTGGATGGCATCACTGACTCGATGGACATGAGTTTGAGCACGCTCTGGGAGGTACTGATTGACAGAGAAACCTGGTGTGCTGCAGTCCGCCGGGTCGCAAAGAGTCGGATAGGACTCAGCACCTGAACAACACGAGAAGAGCCCAGCCCTTGCAAAGCACTGAGACCCTCACTCATGGAGCGCGAGTGCCACCTGGTGGCCAGATACGGCCTGACCAGCGTCACCAGTGACCAGAGAAGCCAAGAACCAGACTTAGAGACAGGAATCACCAAGGTCATCGCCACAGTAACTGTAACGACGGCAACACGTTATCAACACCCCGCGGCTTTCCTGCCGTCCTGAACTCCGGCCTCGCAGGGTTTTGAGGAGATCGGCCCTTACTGGACATTCACATATTCTCTTTAAAGCAGTGACTGTAATCTTTTGCCATTTTTTAATTCAGTTGTCTTATTACTAAGTTATAAAAGCTCTTTATATATTTTGGATACAATTTATTAGTCAGATTTTGTGAACATTTTCCTTCTGACTTATGGCTTATCTTTACTTCGTATTTTTCAAAGAGCAAATGTTTTAAATTTTAATAAAATTCAATTTACCATTAAAAAAAATCCAACAGATATTGACAGGCTTAGATGTACCAGGTACTGTTCATATGCAAGCCCTTCCCTCCTGGAGGTTAAGTTCTGGAGCACAAGAAAGGAGGGGTAGGAAGGGCGGGGAGAAGGATTCACACACAAGGTATTGTGGAATTAGAATCTCCAGGACAAGATGGCCGGGGGCTAGGAAGATGGAGACGTTAAGAGATTCAGCCTAGGTGACAGGCAGAAGAATAAGGCCCCTGGAGGCTGGCGACAGAGGAGAAGGGGCAGAAAGGGGCAAGAAATGAGTCTGCTTTTGGATCAAAATCAACATTACATTACATTACTTTACATTGGCTTCCCAAGTGGCACCAGTGGTAAAGAATCTGCTTGCCAATGCAGGAGATGCAAGAGATGCTGGTTCGATCCCTGAGTCAGGAAGATCCCCTGGAGGAGGGCATGGCAACCCACTCCAGTATTCTTGCCTGGGAAATCCCATGGACAGAGGAGCCCGGCAGGCTGCAGTCCACAGGGTCACAAAGAGTTTGACATGACTGAGCACGCACTCACAATATATTACATTACGATGACCCGCCTTTCCAATCCCATGAAAAGTCAGACTAGGTTTCCCAGAAAATTCTCCTGCCATTAGAGGTTAAAATTGTATTGAATGTTGATTGTCCAATACAAATCTCCATACACAGATTTTCATTAAAGGCTTGCTGAACCATCCTACGGAAAATAACAATGGCTAACACTTACCGAGTGCTTTGTGAGAAAGAAGCATTGTTCCCAGCGCTTCCCCGGTTACCGTAAAGCCTCAAAACTCCTGTGGGCTCTCTACTGGGCTCAGGTCACACGGTCAGCAAGTGCAGGGCCAGCCAGCCTCGCAGGAAGGTCACAAGGCCCCTCAGGTAAATCTACTTTCTCCCAGGAGGCGGCTGTAGATGGTGGACACCATGCGGCCTGTGACCACATCCAGCCACTTTCTTGTGGCAGTCAACCTGCTTGAAACTTAATTAGAAGAGGTTTCAGGCCTCCCCAGTTTGGTCACCGAGACATAAGATATCAAAAAGCGAGAAAAAGCAGACGGAAAGCAAAAATAAAGAAGGAGACCTCCGGTAGCATTATAAGCGAAAAAAAGCGGGGTACGGTTATCCTTCCTCTTTGGGGATGATGAAAAAAGAAAACGTGCGCTTCAGGGGTGGTGTGAAGGTACGAGGCTTTGACTTCTGGAGAATCTGACTCACACGTGCCCATGAGCGGCACTGGTTCCACCAGGCTGCAGGACCCTCACACACAGCTTCTCAGCTAAAAGGCAATCAGTCAAGTAGAGAAGCCCAGCATGGAAGGTTCTGGGCCCACCTGGGCTTGCGCCATCATCCAGGATAAATTATTCTAAAAAAAAACAAAATTCTACTAAATGTTACCTTAGTCATGAGGAAATTTAATTTCTTATTTTTGGCAGTTCTAACTTCCCTTATTCCTACTGAGTAAGGAATAAGAAAACATTGGCATATTGAAAAAGATTATTTAATCACAATAAAAGCATGCAGAACAATACTGAAAAAAATTTTAATTGAGTGAAAGCTTTATGATAATAGCAGTAAAAATATACCCTAAAATAGCCCCTAGAAAATTGAAAACTGCAATTGATATCAGTTACTTCACCAGTATGGGGAATAAATAGGGTCACATTGCCTATGTTTTTTCTTTTTTTTAATTTAAAAATTATTTTTTAATTTTTTTGAATGGATAAAGAAGACGTGGTACGTAGAAACAATGGAATATTACTCAGCCATAAAAAAAGAATGAAATAATGCCATTTGCAGCAACCTGGATGGACCTAGAGATCACCATACTGAGTGAAGTAAATCAGAGAGAGACAAATATACAATATCACTTACATGTGGAATCTAAAAAAATGGTACAAGTGAGCTTATTTACAAAACAGAAATAGAGTCACAGATATAGAAAACAATCTTAAGGTTACCAGGGGGGAAAGGTGGGGAGGAAGGACAAACTGGAAGACTAGGACTGTCTATGCTTTTTCAGTTGATTTCTCTTATCATCAGGTGGTCCACTAACTGAAATACCTGCTATGTTCCAGAAACTCTTTAGTCCTGGAAATAATACATCAGTGGATGAAACGAAGATTTCCATCCTTGTGGGGCTTCCTCTCTAACAGAGCAGGTAGTGAAGCAATAGATTTAATAAATACATAAATAATTTAGCATGGTAAAGGGTGTTAATGTCAAGGATTTTTTTTTAGTAGAGGGGTCTGAGATACTAAGTTGGGTTAGGCCTCAGAGAATGCAACATTTAAGCAAAGCCTTGCAGGTGACTCTGGCCTTCACAAAGCCGCAGAAGTCCTAGGACATCCTCCAGAACAGCAGAGGTCCAGGGCCTTATCTTTCCACCACCAGGACGGTCTTCTCCCAAGGCGATTCTTAGAACAAACTTTTACTCCAAAATGCCCTGCTGAGTACATTTACACTAGAAAGCAGTAGCAATTTCTCTCACTATATATGTTAATTCTGCTCCCAGAACTTGTACAAACAGGGTTCTGAGCCAAGTAATAGCTTCCCAGGTGTTTCCATGTTAAAGAATCTGCCTGCCAATGCAGATGTGGGTTTAATCCCTGGGTAGAGAAGATCCCCTGCAGAAGGAAATGGCAACCCACTCCAGTATTCTTGCCTGGGAAATCCCATGGACAGAGGGGCCTGGAGGGCTACAGTCCATGGGGTCGAAAAAGAGTTGAAAACAACTTAGAGGCGAAACACACCCACGACAGCTTCACAGAATATAGCTGGTGGTACCTCTGTGGGTCTCAGATTACTTGACGATGCGACCATGGTGTTTATTAGATTTTTCTACGTGAAGTTCCCAGGAGGCCACATGGCACTCAGAGGAGTCTCGTTGAATCTTCCCTGCTATTTTTCTGTATCTTATACAACCACTCCCTTGGGTTCAGGCATATGGCTTCAAGAAACACCATCTAGTTCTAATGAAAAGCCTACATTTAGGACCACTGAGATGACCTTAGACCTACAGTCCCCAGTAACTGTAAGAATTACTCTTTTAAGGTTGAGAAAAATCCCTTAGCACCCAGTACTGTCTACTGACAGTGATTGGTTTAGATGCTAAGTCATCGTGTCTAGACTGTGCAACTTCTCTTTCACGCACTGGAGAAGGAAATGGCAACCCACTCCAGTGTTCATGCCTGGAGAATCCCAGGGACGGGGGAGCCTGGTGGGCTGCCGTCTACGGGGTCACACAGAGTCGGACACAACTGAAGCGACTTAGCAGCAGCAGCAGCATCGTGTCTAACTCTTGCGACCCATGGACTCTAGCCCACCAGGCTCCTCTGTCCACGGGATTCTGCAGGCAAGAATCCTGGAGTGGGTTACTGACAGGTTGAGCATCCTAGCCTGACCGGATGCCCATGGAGAGCCATAAAAGCCCGCGCTTTCTTCCTTATATGGACGGTCCAATCGGATACCGACATGGAGTCCCGAGACACCGACTGCTGCTGTAGCCCGCGTTTTTTCCCCTATATAGAAAGACCCTGCCTAAGCGCCCACCTTGGCTATAAAATCTTCCCCCACCCCTCACACCTCGCAGACTCCCTTTGTCTCCCCGCTCACCGGGAGTTCTGCCCGAGAGCGACCGCCCAATAAAGGCCTTCACCAACGGTCCTTAGAAGTGGCTCTTCCTGCGGCGTTTTCTAACAGTTACCATTTCCTTCTGCAGGGGATCTTCCCGACCTAGGGATCAAAGCCAGGTCTCCTACAAAGCCTGCTGCCGCTGCTAAGTCGCTTCAGTCGTGTCCGACTCTCTGCGACCCCACAGATGGCAGCCCACCAGGCTCCCCCGTCCCTGGGATTCTCTAGGCAAGAACACTGGAGTGGGTTGCCATTTCCTTCTCCAATGCATGAAAGCGAAAAGTGAAAGTGAAGTCGCTCAGTCGTGTCCGACTCTTAGCAGCCCCATGGACTGCAGCCCACCATGCTCCTCTGTCCCTGGAACTTTCCAGGCAAGAGTCCTGGAGTGGGGTGCCACTGCTTTCTCCACCTACAAAGCCAGGTGGTCTCTTTACTAACTGAGCCACGAAGGAAATAGGCACACAGTAAATGTTTCCATTAATAGCACATGTCTTGATTCCAGTAATGGTGGAATAGATAATTCTTTCTTCCTGTTCTTTGGTTGGCATAATCTCTATTGATCTATTTTGAAGTTCAGTGATTCTTCTGCTTATTGATGAGTTTTTCCAGAGAATTTGCAATTTCAGCTATTGTTCTTTTCAGTGCTGGAATTCCCATTTGGTTCCTTTTAAAAACCCTCTTTATGATATTCTCTGTTTGATGCAACACTGTCATATACCTTCCTTTATTCCTTTTAAGCAGGTTTTCCTTTATTATGAACATATTTGTAATGGCTATTGTGAAATATTTTCCTCCTCAATCTGATAGCTGATCATTATCACTGTTTCAGTAGCCTGTTTTTACTTTTGCTTTTCCAGTATATGGGTCAAATTGATCCTTTTATTTTTTTGCAGCCTCATTCATTTTTGTTGGAAACTGGAGATTCTAGATGACATACTGTAGCCCCTCTGGGTAACAGACTTCTCTGTTTCTCCAGGGTTCTTTGTTCTTATTTGCTTAGTGACTGGCTGCATTATTTTAGTGAAACCTACCTATCCTCCGCAGGATTAAGCCTCTGATGCTGGCTCTTGGGGAGGTGTAATGTTGAGTCTGGCCTGTGATTGACTGGTGTCCTCCATCTTTCTTGGGCTCCAGCGTTGGAGCGGGGACAATGGCAAGCTTCTCCTGGAAGGAAGCTTTCACTCTAGGCGTGATGAAGTGCTCAGTGGTGCTGAGGAGGAGCTGTAGCCTCAGGTCCTCTTGGCTTGCCTTTCACAGCACAGAACCACCAGCTCACGAGGTGGGGGAAAGGAATCAGGGCCCCAGCATCCTTGGCTACTTAAGGTAGAATGATCCTCCATGAGTGAGGGGTGGATAAAAGCAGGGAACTCCCACCTCTCAGCTGTATTTGCCTGGGACTTGGCCTCAGCAGCAGACAGCTGGGGGCAGGATGAGAACTACTGAAGTCCTGCTACTCCTGGAAGAAAGCCTCCTGGCTAGGAGTTGGGGAGACAGGGAACCCTGCACTCCTGGCTTCAGCAGTCTGGAGCAAGTCTCCCTCTTGTTGGGCTGGGAGGGGAGAGATGGGGAGTCTTGGTTCAAACATCATAGACTTCCTTATCGAAAAAGTCACCTTCCTTACTCAAAGCAAAATTCACATTTCTTGTTGACATTTCATAGATTTTCTTGAAGAAATGTTTCTTCATTTGCTGTTTTTCTTTAGGACCATTTCCGAAGGTTTTGAATGATTAAGCTTTTAAAAATCAATGTATGACAAAAACCACTACAATATTGTAAAGTAATTAGCCTCCAACTAATAAAAATAAATAAAAAAAAGAAAAATAATTTTCATGTTTCCCTGGAAAGCAAGTCAGCGAAGCTGCTAATACTCTCATGCCAGAATTCAATCTCCCTACTGAGTTCCAAGAATTCCTTATATATTGTAGATAAAACCTGTTATCAGATATGTAATTTGTAAATACTTTCTCCCAGTATGTGGGTTACTTATTCATTTTCTTAAAAGTGTCTTGAAAGCCAAAGTTTCATATTTTTATGAAAAGCAATTTATCAAATTTTTCTTTTATGGACTGACTGTACCTTTGGTGCCTTGTCTAAGAAGTATTCTCCAGGAGTTACAAAGATTTTCTACTTTATTCCTACAAGTTTTATAGTTTTAGGCTTCATATTTAGGTCTACGTTGCATTTTGATTTAAAATTTTATACAGCAGACTCTCTTGAACAACGCTGGCTTGAACTGCACAGCTCCACCTATCCATGGGTTTTCCTCAGGGAATGCACACTACAGTACTACGTGCCTTGTGGCTGTCGATGCCGAACCATGAACATGGAAGGCTGATAGCAAAGTAACACACAGATTTTCAACCAGCACAGAGGGTCAGGACGCCTAACCCTTACCTTGTTCAAGGGTCAACTGGACATGGTCCAATTTTTTTTTTTTAAGAAGGGTCAAAGATAATTTTTGGTTTTTGTAGAGCTTTTTGTTGTGTTCGTTCATTGTTTACATATGGTTAGTCAATTGTTCCAGCACATTTGTTGAAAAGAATATCCTTTATTTAATTCCCATCTTTGGGAATTATGGCATCTTTGTCATAAATCTGTTAATTGAATATGCCTAGATTGATACCTGTATTATGTTTGATAGATCTAATTGTCTATCCACATATTCATACTAGATATCTTGCTTATGGTAGCTTTATAATGTCTTAAAATTAGATGGTAAAAGCCTCCTTACTTTGTTCTTTTTCAAAGAACAAAGTAAGTTTTGGCCTTTTCTTATAGATTGCATTTTTGAATTTCGGGCTTGCAAAGTTCATGTATCAGTTCTAATGCTTTTTTTTTGGTTGAGATTTCACAGGATTGTTTACATCAATAATCATGTTGTCCACCAATAAAGACAGGACTTCCCTGGTGGTTCAGATGGTAAAGCGTCTGCCTGCAATGCGGGAGACCCGGGTTCAATCCCTGGGTTGGGAAGATCTCCTGGAGAAGGAAATGGCAATCCACTCCAGTATTCTTGCCTGGAAAATCCCATGGATTGAGGAGCCTGGTGGGCTACAGTCAAGTCCATGGGGTAGCAAAGAGTCAGACACGACTGAGCAACTGAAGTGACTGACCACCAATAAAGACAGTATTATTTATTGTTTTCCAATTTGGATGGTTTTCTTTGTCTTTCATGTCTTATAGCTATGGCTAGAAACTCCTGTACAACGTTGAACAGAAATGGTAAGAGCAGACACTCATGCCTTGTTGATATCAGAGGAAAAATGGTAATAAGTCATTCACAATGAAGTTCGATGTTAGCTGCAGGGGTTCAATAGATGCTCTGTATTAGAAAACTCCCTTCACTCCTGGTTTGAAGAAATTCCCTCTACTCCCAGTTTGCTGAGAAGAATGGAAAAGGGATGATTAGATACTGTCAAATGCTTTTCCCACTTCAGTTGAGGTGACCTTTTTTTTTCTTCTTTTTTAGTGAGTTAATATAATGAATCCCTTTGATTCCATTCTTACATCAATCTTGAATTCCTGGGATAAACCCTACTCGGTCATGATGTGTCACCCCTTTTAAATACTTTGTTCACTTTGCTAATAATTTGTTTAAATTTTTTGTCTGTATGTTCAGGAGGCATGTTGGACTTTAGTTTTCTTCTCTTGTATTTTCCCTGCCTGGTTTTGGCATCAGGAAAATAACTGACCTGTACAATTAGATGTTTCCCCTTCTCCTTAACTTTCTAAAAGTGTACACAGAATTGGCATTACATCTTCTTTAGATGTTTGTTGGAACTGACCAGTGAACTCAGATGGTCCTACAGCTTTGACTGTGGGAAGGCTTTCAACTAAAAATTCCATTTCTTTAATAAACAGTGCTTTCAGATAATCTAGTTCTTCTTGCATGAGCTTTGTTATTTATATCTTTTGGGGAATTTGTCCATTTCATCTAAATTGCCAAATTTATTGGAATAAAGTTGTTTATAGTAGTGATTATACTTTTCATTTCTGAAATATCTGTAGTGATGATCTCTTTTATTCCTCATGTCATTGTTGTTTATTCACTAAGTCACGTCTGACTATTTTGCGACCCTATGGACTATATCTTGCCAGGCTCCTCAGTCCATGGGATTTCCCAGGCAAGAATAATGGAGTGGGTTGCCATTTCCTCCTCCAGAGGATCTTCCCAACCCAGGGATCCAACCCTTGTCTCCTGCATTGCCCAGCAGGTTCTTTACCACTAAGCCACCAAGGAAGCCCCTCATTCCTAATAGTCCTGTGTTATTTCTTTTCAATTATTTGCTGAGAGGTTTATCAATTTTACTGATTTTTCTCAAAGAACCAACTTTTGGTTTCATTTTATCTTGTATTTAAATTTTTATTTTATTGATTTCTTAATACTATCCTTATTACTTTCTTTTTTTTCTGCCCCTCTTTTTTTCCTTTGGTGACTCTATACAGCTTGCAGGATCTCAGTTCCCCTAACCAGGAACTGAACCTGGCCCCTTTCTTTGGAAGTTCAGAGTCTTAACTGCTAGATCACCAGTGAATTCTCTACTTGGGGTTTAATTTGCTCTTTTTCCTGGTTTCTTAAGGTGGTAGGTGAAATCATCAATTTGAGAATTTTCTTCTATTTTAATATAGGCAATTACCATTATAAATTTTCCTCTAGGATTGGTTGCCTAATCTGTATCTAATAAATTTTGATGCTTAAATTTTCATTCAGGCCAATATATTTCTCATTTTATTTTTTCATTAGAAGCATGTTGTTTAGTTTCCAAATATTGGGGTTTTTCCAGATAACTGTTACTGATTTCCAATTTGCTTTTTCTTTTGCCAGAGAATATACTTTGTATGGTTTGAACCTTTATTATGACTTGCTTTCCCTCCCAGAATATGGTCTGTATTGAAAATGCTCTGAATGCACATGAAAACAATGTGTATAATGCTGTTGTTGGGTGGAGTGCTCTATCAAGGTCAATTAAGTCAAGATGGTTGATAGTGTTTTTCAAGTCTTCTAATATTATTGATTTTCTGTCTACATGTTTTAACAATTAATGGAGGTGTTGAATATCCTCAACGATGGCCAAAAACTTCGTTCAGGTTTTTCCATACCATGTTAAAAAACCCAAATGAAATTTTTGGCCAGCATGATATATTTGTGGGTTGGTTATTTCTCCGTGTAGTATACAGTCTTTCCTCACATATTTAGAAGCTGTTATGAACATGTTTAGGATTGTTAATTTCCTCTTTGTGATTATAGACAACCATCTTAATCCTTAATCTTGGTAATATTTTTGAGCTCTGAAATCTACCATTTACTACTAGTATAGTACACCTGATTTCTTTAAATTATTGTTAGTGTATCTTTGTTTATACTTTACTTCAAACCTGGTGTCTTTGTAGCGAAAGCGGGTTTTGAGAAAATAACATATAACTGGGTCCTGTCTTCTTTTAGTCGGTATAACAAGCTTTGCCTTTTTATCAGGTGTTTACAATTTACAATCAGTGTGATTATTGATATGGTTAAGCTTAAATCTATTATCTTGCTATTTGTCTTATT